TTTTTTTTCTATTTTCCGTATCTTATTTTGTTTTTTTAGTGATCTATGCGTGCGGTGGACACCACACGGAACACGACGCTGCGTTCAACTCTCCCAGTCTGCCCCGCGATAACAACAACACACTGGACTGTGTGTGGAGCATCGCTGCACCCGAACATCTCAGTATTTCCGTGGGGTATGCAACACTACATTGTTCTTTTTTATGACGTAATTTAGGGTCAAGAACACTGTTCACAGCTTTGATGTTGTTTTTAACTGTGGTCGTCCATGAATACTGTTTTTAAAAATTTGCTAAATTCTAAATAGCGAACGACTACACAATCAAACTGGATTGTCTGAACGACATTGTCATACGCATCTACGTCATATTGACGTCACAGAAGTGCTTCATCAATAGAGGGCGCGGCGTACCTCATTGCGTATTCATTCATTTGCTGTACGCTGAGCCACTCTCAGTGGTGACACCACACGCTTCACCTGTGACTTTCCACACCTTTCCCTTTTAATACCAATATGTCTGCGTTTTATATTTTACATTATCCGGGTATTGGAAATATAGACATGCCGATTTTTAAGATACGCATCACCGTACCACCATCATCCGAAGGGTTTCTAACTCGATTAGATCATACGAGTCCGATGAGCATAATTTATTCGGTCCCACGGACTTCAATAAGAGACATTTCAGTGGATTAGTCAACTGGTTGTAAACGTACTTGATTTTATTGGAAATAAAAATGACCCCCATTTTTCGACTACGATGCGATCACTTAATTATTATAAACTTGGCGTACAAACTTTGCGAAGTGGTGCTAGTGTGCATATATTAACCAATTAACATAATACAATTAATACTTTTCATTTTATTAGATTGATTTTTCTAATATGGCCGGAATCCAACGACGACTGTCGTGATTACATCTCTGTCCGCCAAGGCTATGGACCGGAAGGTGGTTATATACGGATATGTAACCCCACTGATTGGCCAGGTGGTCACGACACACACTCACAGGTGGTTTGGTTTCACTTTCATTCGGAGTGGCCACACGAGGGCCTATTTGTCATGGATTACTTCATGAAGGAAAAAGAGAGTGCAAGTGAACATTGTGGTGGTATTTTCAACGGTAAGTACGGGTATTACAAAAGTTAGACGTCTAGGTATACTTATTTACATTGTTTAGTGAAAATAAAATAAAAAGTTATAAAATGGCTAAAATACGAAGCAGGGCAGTGTTTGTGTAAATGGAGAGTGATCACGAACAAACAAACGACTCGTGTCTCACGTAAAGTGTGAGATGTTAGTAATATTCATGAGCTGCAATTCGCATATCACGTGACCAAGCATAACGCATTATCTATAGGTCCGACGAACCGGACAATAAACCCGCCTCGGAGTCATGTTTAGTCTAATCTTTTCCCGGAATCTTTCTAATACCAACTTAATGAACGATACAGTCATCCCATGACACCGCAGACAATACAATTACTTCATTATTTGCATGTGACGTGTTGTTCGATTACATCCGTGATACAAGCTCGTTCGAAATTTGTGCATAACATGCACAGTCAACAGACGTACAAATGATAATAATATTAATAAGATTAGTTATCAATATTTACTATATCTTGAATCTGGTTCGAATTTAAACAGATAATGTTTGTTTCGATTTGGCTTAGATTCAAGATGCCCCACCCCCATATTGTGAATACTGGTAAATTAATCGCATTTATTTTAGTATCACTACTACAAACGAGGATGACACAATGGTGGATAATTATGACGTATGGACTAAAAATACCACGTGACACAGTAACCCGCAAATGATATATTGTCAGACCCGTTTATGAACATCCCGAACGTACTGATCATCAAGACATACTTATATTTTCCATAAAGGAACATTGTTCGAAACGTCTAGCTTTTTTGACTAGTTACCATTACTAATACCACCCACTGTATACCATGTTTATTGATCTTAGTAACTGTTAGGCCTCGCAAACAAAAAATGTTTTTGTCAACGTGTTTTTAAAGAATCGGACAATGTGTGGCTAACTATGGACCTTCATCGCTTGTTACCACAGTTGCCTACACTTATTTCTTATCTACCTTTGGTTTTTACCGATAATAAAAGACGTGCGAACCGAGTGCAAATTTGAGTGCAAATTTACTAGAGGGAACAGACAGGCTTTAACCATCACACAACATGCATAGAACATACTGTAAAATCCAGTGTTGTTTTTTGAATAAATATTCCGTTTTAAATTATTCAACGTATTGTTTTTGTTTTATCTTAATAGGTACAACTGGTACTCTCGAGTCCCCGGGTTACCCAAATTCCTATCCCAACAAAATGGACTGTGTATGGAAGATCACTGGTACAACCATTCGTTTGAAATTCGAAGTGTTTGATCTCGAAAATCAGGAGAATTGTCGGTTTGATTTTCTTGATATCAGTGATGGTGGTGACGAATCTATGGGAAGGTAAGCTACTGGTTAATTAAGTATACAATCAGTCACAATACTCTTTTAAATATATTAAAAGTTCACCTGGAAATTATTAAAACTTCAACGCAACACATGCGCTGTTTAAATCTGTGTACAACGTCACTTGTCATCGCAACGTCACTTCCGTGGTTTTCACAATGTTACTTTTTTGTTTAATAGATTCTGTGGTGATAAGCAGCCTCCACCAGTATTACAATCATCGTCCGGTGAACTATGGATCACCTTCCAATCAGACGCATCCATCCAAGGCAGAGGATTCCGAGCAACAGTTGAAATCGACTACTAATAAGTTATATTTTACTCCAGTTTCATCATACGGGATTTTTTTTCTTCAAAAAGCCATTTCCATCATAATACTGAAATACACTTTTTTAAAGACTTTTTCCTGATTTTTAATTTACATTTTTTTTCATTTGCTTGGAAGTTAATCGTTATTTGGGGTAATTGTTTCTATTGTTACTGCACTCAAATATTGCTACACGTAATTCGAATTTCAGAAATTTTATTATTATCAGTAAATGTTTTTTTTTATGATTACACATTGAACGGTGCTACTTGAATATGTGAAAATTGAAAACAAAATAAAATATATTAGATATAATTTGATAGTTTAATATTATTGCATATTAGTTTATGCTACATAGTGATGTTTTCTCAGTCATTCGAATTGGTGATATTGGTGCTCGTATCTACCTGTCTATCGTGATCTGCAACTTTCAGGATACTAGTATACAGTGAATTGATGTAACTGAGAAAATGTCGGTTAGAGTTACATTATATCGTGTAGTTAGGAAGAAATGTCTGTATGTCAGTGTGCAAACTGGATCTGAATTTTCAATGTGTGTTCGATTCAATTGCAATCATCTGACTTTTGAACTTTTGGGTCCAAAAAAGAAAATGGAGGGAAGATAATGATAAAGCGACGTTATGTTTGCCATTGTTTGTGATTGTGGCGTAAAGCAAAAACACGAAGTGAAAATGTTTTCAAGTAAAACACAGTTGTATTTAAGATACATTATTATATTTGTAATACCGAATTTCAGATTTGGGACATTTAGAAATTGATTACTGCAATTGAAAAACAAAACAAAAAAATTTTGTTTTTTGATATAAAAGATGTGAAGTTATGGTTAAAATTAGTTCTAAATTGACAATAGAAATAATTCATGGACCGTCACGGTGGTATTAGATAGAAAGCAATACCTCTGGGATGTGAGCGCGCTTCTCTATTATCCAGATCTTACTCATCAGATGTTGCGCAATATGTACTGTGTCTGAATTGCCCATTGCCTATTTTGTTTTGGGTTATGATAAAATACTTTTGGTCGCATGAAGAAATAGATATTCGTGGAATAGGAAATTAGTTTATGTTATGTTTACCCGTATTTTTAATCATTGTGGTTAAAACCCTCAGTACAGTGCTATATCAAATAATATGTCATTTTATAATAAAAAAACAAAACAAAACATGACACCATAACCCCTCCACGAGAACATGCATCTCACAAGTTCTGACGAATGGTGAGATAGTTTTGTATCACGATGCATGGCAGAAATGTGCCAGTATTACGCCCAATAGTAACTGCGAAACTTTCGTTACCATGAAATAAACAATGATGATAAGCAACAGAGACATCTACACGTTTCAACAATTGTGATAGTTTCAATAACATTTTTAACAGATATTTGTGAATTCTTGTCGTGAATATGTTGTGCCAGACTGTTCAACCACTGACAACTATCACTGCACTATCACGATTTAAGCGTGAAAGACAATGAATTTAAGATACTACTTCCAAGGCATAAATATATAAAAATAAATACAGTAACTTAAGTTAGAAATTTAAATTACGAAGCGATACATTGAAATGTTAGGATTTCAAAGTAATTAAGTGCCCGAGATTTGCACCATGTGCCCAAGCTAATCCACATTTAGCATCTCAACTCCCGGGTAGCATAGAATCCCGGCTGCAATGTACAGGTGCATATGAGTTAGCGTCCAACATTCCATGAGTATATGCAAATCATTTTGATATATTTGCATGTTCCTCACATAGCCAATGAACACTTTCTCCTTGCAAAATTGGGAACAGATCTCCAAACCGGCGGTTCTCGTCAACTTTACCCAGGAATCGAACAAATTCTTTACGTTTGGTTGTATGCTTGCACCTCAGCACTTCGTTTATATTCTCCTCGAAAGGTCGTTTCACCGTCTTGGATATTTCGGGACATTCTGCTTCAAAATCATGTAGGTAGTTTGTAAGAAGATTTTTGGCTCTACCGAGTGTCATTGTGGATGACGTCAAAACAGTCTTACCAACAGGGACGCAATCAATCGGAGCAACGGATGTGCTGAGCCCAACTACTTTCTGTAGTAGGATCAACACTTTGCATATGTGAGGGCCATAAACTTTGACAAATTCTTTTACGTTATAGATTCTGTACCCAAGTGAATTAATAAAATGTGGACTGCCTGCAAATTCACAGAGCAAATGAACAGCATAACCATCCTGGAAATGAGAGAACGCGCTATTCTTAATGATTTCCGTGGTTGACATACCACCCGTGTTTATAGGAAGAATAAGAAACAATCGTGGGTATTCAAAGTCGTCTTTGAGGGTTAAGAGCGTGCTAATATCGTGACGCTGAATGCCATGGCAGTGAATCAACTCATCCCAACTATCAAACATATGACCCTTGTAAAGAGAACAAACGTATGCTACATTTGACTCTGTAGATTGAATGCGTCCTGGTGGATCGTGACGTTTCACCACACACAGTGGACATGCCGGTGATGACTTCATGATGACACCGCTGTAAGATGGCCGGGAAGATATTTCCCTTATTATTGCATCAATACTAAGTATGACGCAGCATGCATTTTTACCTCTCACTGTGAGAAGTATGCTGCTGCTCTGGTACAAAAGCTGAAGACGGATACCATGCAACGAATTTCCTGACCGTTGGCCAAAACACCTGTTGCAACTCAACCTGACTCCCTCCGTTCGAAACACCATATTGTTTCGGTACAAGATTGGATCATCTATGAAGCTAATTGCCTTATTTACCCCGACTATGGTGTCACAGAAAAAGACGGGCGGTAAGAAGTCAAATTGGTATAAATAACTGAGTTGGCAATCACCAGGATAGGGATATGCATGCCAATCATCCAAGCATGGCTCACCTATTGGCAATTTACAAGGAAAGATTAACTTTGTAAAATTCATCCCACACTCACGGGTTATGCTGTCAAACGGAAAGCAGATCCTGCTTGCTGTCAGTAGAGACAGTAATGGATGGTGGTGTTGTTTGTCGATGTGACCCCATGCATTATGAAGGTCCTCAACATTAAGAACACCAAAGTCGTCTATAAACGTGGAACTGAAAGAAATCAGCATCCTGAGTATATTCGCTAGCCATTGTGGATCCAGAATAACAATACTTTTAGCTTCTTTCTGATGTGATGGTTTGATGTAAACAATACAACCTCTGCTACCTAGGAAGCTAGTAACATGGTGCAAAGACTCTGCTGTTCTGATGCCAATACCAAATGCAATTGTTTGATATTCTGAATATGTTAGTATTGGTCGTGATGGGTTAATCATTTGTCGTGCTTTAAGTGTATTTTGCAATGTGTGCCATGTCTGGGGGATTTCGGACTGCACACTTAGCATTTCAGAAGCCACTCTCTCAATTGCAGCTTTCAACTGAATGATACTTCTGTTTTTACGGGTTAATACCTTGGCAGGGAAAGCCATAGTGCTACTGACTTCATAATATCCCACTATATGTGGAAAGCAGAAAAGATTATCCCCATTTGAAGATGCATCATCTTTTTCTTGTTGAGGGACAGTTTCACCACGGGCTTCACATTCCACATATCCTGCCAATCCATTGAAAGAGCTCTGCCGCTGGGGATTATGAGTATAACTGCACATGATGCAATCTGTTAAGATATTCATGCGATGGCTTTGGCGGTGAGATACATGCGCCTTGTTGAAAATATCAGCAAACTGTTGCCAAATATGATTCAACACTGTTGTTGCCAGCATAGGGGCGTCGGCATGTGTTCCTACAAGTATAACACGTGAATTAGGTGCAGAAGTGTTGATTGTTCGCAACCACAACACCACCCTTCCCAACTGGTGCATACATATGTTAGAACGTGACACTTCGCCTAAAGCAAATTTACTGAGATCAAAGACAACAACATATATTGTATCATCTGTGAGAAACAATGAATGCGATTCCAAGAAATCAACATCACCTGCAAAGTCAAACACAATAAGTTTGTTCCCGCTGTCTCGCAGGTGAATTTCTGAAATATCAATGCCATCGGTTTTATCCACAGGAGATGAGTGGTCGTTCAGTGCACTAAGGAGTGAGGTTTTACCAGCACCTTCATGACCAGCAATAACCATCTTCACTGAATCATTTATCACTCTAGACTTGGACAGAAATTCCTTTAAATATGACATTATGGAAACTCTACCTTCCCCTATTATATCACATGGAATATTTGCTACCGGATTGCCCTGAATCTTGATATCAGTGCAATTGGTTGCGCAACTAATGGACGGGGGAATTCTTTGGATACAGTTATCACGGACATCAATTTCAGACAAGCCTGAAATTAGTCCGAGATCCTCCTGTAGTTTTACAAGACCATTGTTACGCAAACACAGCATTACAAGACCCTCACAACAGACATGAATATACTTTTCAGGTGTCAGTGAATCTGACGTATTCTTGCTCCCAGAAGATAATTTTGAATCATGCGCTTTTGCCCTAAGAGAACAATTTCGGATATTTAAACTATGTAGTGATCCAGGGAAATTTAGATACCATGGTACTGGTATATCTACACCGATGCAAGAAATAGTTTTTACTGTCGGCAACAGCCATGACATAATTGCTGTTGGGTCGAATGATAAAGCACGGGAAATGCCCAAGGCATGTGACACTCGTACTGTGTCCATGTCAGTGATGTCACTTTTACTAATGATCAACGTGTGAATAGTGTGATTTTCCAGAAATGTGTTGACCTGTTTTGGAACATGCTCTATTCCATGTATAACTACAGATACGTGACAACCATCCTCAATGGGTAATGGAAAACGCCTATTAACATCGTCTTCTAAGAGATTCAGTGTTTCTGTCGTTCCATCTGGTTTTTCACAGATACATAGATTCAGATTTGATGTTCTTTGAGGATCATTCTAGAAAATGTTCAATGGAAACGTAGTATGAGAGTTGGCCACTTAGGGTCAATATCAAAAGCATTTAATTTTGTCGAATCAATAAAACCATCTATTACCGAATGGTAAAGACAGGTTACTAATTATATAATATTTAATTCCAAAAGTTCTAACAAATATTAACTCACCATGTATGTAGATTCCGATAGCAACATTAGCGTCTCATACAAGCCAAAATATTCGATCATCTCCATTATTATTGGTTTGCCCTCCTAGTGAGAGTCACATTATATGAGTCAGTATTTTTAATTTAATTTCATTAGATTAGAAATAACAGTGAATAATGCTATGAATGAACTATGAATCACACAATGTTTAACCATCCAGTTGAAAATACGGTTTACTGTAATAGCTGAGTATATGAGCGTTAAAGTCAAAATAAAAGAAGAATTGTAATACGTATTATGATAAAGTAATACCATTATGGTAAGATGTTGTTGTTATGTGGCACCGGGGATCAAATATCGGGGTATGTATTTTCACGAATAATGTCACGCTTATTTCAATAAATATGCAAGACACATCCTCAGTTCCATCGTCTTCCAAAGCAATACTACAACTCCGCCAAGCTTTATACTCTTGATACCTTTGTTATCAATGAGTCAATCACCTTGTAATGACCAATCGTAAAAACTTGCATAAACACACCTAACATCACACTGCTGTCATTATTGTGCGCTTTTTCTACTCAAGCGTGACCCTGGGAAGTCTCCCTATTTCAAAATATTACTGTGTTACAGACACCCACAATTAAAACAAAATACATGAACAAACTTTATATATGTTGATTACAAAAGCTGATATACCATACACATGCTGTAACGTGTTTCAAAGATTAAATACACAATCTACTTATTTCAACAGCAGCAGTAAATTGTTTCATGCAATCTGTCATTGTGTAATACAATGCATGTTTCACAAATCACCTTTAGTGTCGTTAATTTATCTTGTAGTGTCCAATCAGGTATTTCATGTTCATCTATGACGTAATACATATATATGGTTGTGCGACCCCATAGGTCACCCAATTTGTAACTAATTCGATAGTACTTAATATACTAACCTTATCCTTCAGTGATATGTCTGCACCTGCCCTAAGCAAGCACCTCACCGATTCACTGTATTTCTGATGACATGCCGCATTAACAGCGGTGTACCCATCCTGCAAAAATAACGCTAATAGTTGGTATACATATGGCCTGTGTTTACAAAAGCACATTGTTTTGATGTTGTTGGAACAACATATAAACTAAATTAAACTAGTAATCCAATAGGAGTTGTTTCTGAAGTCAGAAATTCGGTTTGCACATCCAGACAATGTGAGTTCGCATTTGGAGTAGCCATATTTTGGATCTTTGCTGTGGCGTGATGAGTAGGCAACCTTACTACAGTGATGACGCTATTTACCATGGTCATGAGTTCAAAACATAGCATATAGCCTGTTTAAAAGTTCGTAATCTGCATGTACATAAATACATCTATTTCTAGACTCGATTTCAAACCCACCATTATTGCTGGGAAAAGATTGACCAGCTTTGTTATTAGTCCAAGAAAATTGTTCAGCTTGGAATGTGTCTGAACCCCTCATTAGTATGCAAGAGTGTAGGAATGTGCCAAGAGTAAATTGTAGTGTATTTTACTTATGAAAGGTCAAAAAGTGCATGGAGATTTTATGAAAATGTGTGGATGTTAACAGAATGATGTCCTTTGGTCACAGTTGCGCAATAAATGATGGACTATTTTGGGCATAGCTATAAAATGTAATACCGAAGTACTCACACGTGTGCATGGATTCCAATAGTTTGTGCTGTGAATAAACTCCATTAGAAAGATATTGTTGTATTGTAAGTATTGTGTAATTTGTAGTGAGAATATATTCAAATAGATTTATGTTTATGAATCTTGTTTTATTTCAAAGTGTATTTATAAAATAAAAATTGTTTATGAAAATGTTTTTTTATACTTTTTCGATGGATTGAATTCTGATAGTTTAGGCTTTGTGTTCTTTCGAAAGAGAAGACATTTACTGGTGTACAGTGGACATCGATAAAAGCAAACGTATTTCGACAGTTGTGAAATCATGGTACTGTTTTGGCATTATACAACTTGCAGTTCCCTTTTGATGGATTTTGTGTGACTGGCCATGTTATCGAACTGTTGTATTATGTAAATCTGCCCCGGGAAAATCTGCAACTGCAAGTTTATATTGCCATTTTCACGCTGCGTTATAACGTGGAGTCGTCATCTAAGTATGCACAATTGTTCGTCTGGTGTTCCCCAGCACATTTAAAAATCCCTTTTGAATTTCGGGGACTGACCGTGGTGTTTGTAAACTTTAGTCAAACTGTAGTAGTGTGTAAATTTGCAACAACGTGGAGTTGCCACCGTGTCTTGTTTACTAACTCATTTAAATACGTTTGTGCCTCAACGAGGACTGAAAAGTGATTTCCATTTACTTCACTGTTATAAATCAACTGTATTAGCTTCCCTCGAACTTCCTATTGCCATCGGGATTATGTCTACTACACTCGGCGGTGTAGTGCGTATCGATCTTCTTGTATGAAACGCACCCGAACTTGGAAATCGACGGCAAATCGGGATGGTCTCGTCATGTAATTTCTTGCCTTGTGCTTGACCGCAGTACGCTTGGCAATTAACTTCCATATACTCACGTTTGTTAAGCCACTATTTTGGTATTTGTCACTATTTTGGTACCCGGGAAAATTAAAACCAACGTTCTCTTGCTTTTTGTTATTATTTTTCTTCACAAATCAATAAATCTCATAATTCTGAATAATTCTGGACAGTTTGTGTATAATTTGGAGTAATTTGTTATGTTTAGTTTAAGTTTTCTTTGCTTGCGCATCTTTTCCGACCGAATTGTCATCTTTTTGACGCAGACACAGTGACGCTAACTTAGGGGGTATTACAATCAGCTGTCCTGACAGCCATATCACGGAGCTCAACTCAACTGTCGTACTTTTAAAAATCAATTGTATAGCATATCCGTCGCCGATTGAAATGGTATTAGTGCATCGAAACTGTTCGGCGAAGCTGCTAGGTAAGTATATGGCGATTCAATACTAATATTGATATTTACTAGCTAGCTATCCCACTATGACTTGTTCAGTGTGCCTGCTCAGACTGCTGCGGCGTCTCGAGTCGTCCATTTGTTGTGTTCAATTCCAATTTTAAATGTGCATCGATTTCTCAAAACAGTAATTTATAGACATGTACATGTATATAGTTCATCTGATCCAGAAAGTGATAGTTTAAACTTCATGTACATGTCCAGCTTGAATTTACATGTAAATAATCTATATGCGGACGTTGAGCAGCGGACAACAACAGAGCCACCGAGCGAATGATATTTTCAGTTTTGTGTTTCTTCCATTTGAGA